GCCAAATGATTGACAAGAAACATATGGTTTGGATTTTGGTGTTTGTTTTTGTTTGGGTTTTTTTCCCCATGAACTGCTTTTCTTCCAGGGATTTTGGTTTCATCACTGAAAATCTCAGATTTTTTTATTTCTATAGAATAAATCTGAGAAGGTCTTTAATTAGAATTAGAGAAGCCATACTCAGCTGGGGTCATTTCCATCCACACAGCCTTGTCAGTTACTTGCACTGCTTTCCACCTGCATTACATTTAAATTTATGTTGCAGAAATGAAAGTCGCTCTAGGAGATTACTTACTCTCTTCTACTCTATCTGGATCTTTTTAGCACTTCAGAAATGATTGTATGGATGACTTAAAAATTCTTAATGATCATTCTGATTTTCCTTAACTGACATCTTTTTCTCAAAGTCCATCGTACTTTTTAGTTTCCTTTGCATCTGTACGTGTAGTTCAGAACCTCCTCTACCCAATTTCAAATGATGTATCAGCAGCATGAAAAAAGGCTTGTGAAACCCCCACTTTTCTAGACAACAAAGAATGATAAAGTTTTTTCTTGGATTGGTATTGAAAATTCCTGTATAATTGTTAAAAGCTTTGAAAAATGGAGTAAGGTTTTTTATAATTATGAATTCTTTTTTTATCTGAAAGTCCTTAAAGAACATTATACTATTTCTAAGGAAATGACATTTTGAAGAGTGAAGTCTTACTAAGAAAAATATATTCATTTTATAATGGTATGATAAAAATATTAAAATAGAAAAAATATTTGCTCTATTGACAGCCATGAATATCAAAGTATGTTTAATACAGTAGAAAATAGGTAAGGTGCCTCTTATAACCAGGAAGGATTTTATAGTATGTTATGAATTTAATATTTACTTAAAATATTTTGGTCTGCTATAGTTCTGTTGTAGAAATAGTAGCATTTTCCAGAATAATGTTAAAAGCAGAAATATTTCTGTTTCAATAAATATTTGGTAAATATTTCTGTTCTGTATTTAGGGGGAAAATTATATCATAATGTGAAATACTTCAGTACTCAATAGTTTCTAACTAGAAACTACAAATTAAATTATTTTAGAATCAGCAAGGAGGTATCTTCTGTTAATGTGTTTTAAAAGAATTGGTTAAGTTCCTACTTGACATTAAAAAAAAAAATCTGAAAAATTGCAAAAGATGATATGACAGACTAATAATATCTAAACCTACCAAGATGTCAACTAAGGAGAGATTTTTGTCAGTGCTCAGTAGATCAATGTAGAGGTTAAAAATTTAATAACTGAAATCACTTCAACCTAACCGATAATATAAATAGCAAAATCAGAAAGTTGAAGGGTGTTCAAGCACCCTCAACAGTACCGAGTACTAGTTTTCCTCAGTCACCTTCAGACAGGATAAAGTTAGAAGAAACTTTCCTGCTTTTTGTTGCTCTCATCAAGCTCCTCAGTACCAGGCACCAGAGCTGTGCTTGCACACCTTGGGGAGGCTCACAAGTGCTTTGACCAAACATGGAAGGAATGTTTTATGCATTTCTTATCTTTTTTTGTTTACTATTTCATTATTGTCCACTTCATTTAGTTCAAAGCATGGAAATTTTCCTCTGCATGCAAGAGTGATCCTGACAGAATGGAGAAACCAAAACAATTGCACCTAAATTACCCATTGAAAATTTAAACATCTCTCCCTGAAATCTATGTTTTATTCCTTTATACTTAATGCTGCTTCTTCCCTTTCTTGCCTGCCATGTATCCTGTTCACACATTCACCTGCTGATGTGTGCTGCTAAGCTGGGACTTGCACACTGGCACACTCCATCACCTTTATACCTTCTGTTGGCAGTTCATTTGAGGCTTCAGTAGCAAGATCAGAACTCTATTAAATTCTGGGTATCACCTTTACCTTCCACCTCAGGAATACTGAACTATTGTCCCATAAACTATTGGGGAGGAATAGAGAGAATGGCCCTGGAAAACCTAGTCCTGAGGTTTTGGGTTTTTTTCTTTCTGGAAAAACAGGTAGATAGGTAGGATAAAACAAGCCCCAGTTTTGACTGGCAGCATGCTCTTGGCTTCCTTTCACAAAAAAGTAAGTGAGCTTTTTCTCTCCCTTTAATTAGATGTAGAATAACATCTGGTTTCAGTAATTTTTTTTCAGGCAGCAATTGTTTTACTGAAATAGAAGTGAGAACTATCTTCTCTTTCTGGGGATGTGTGTTTTTCCCCTCATTACTACTAATTCCTGAAATGGTTTGAAAGATAACACTTAAGCAGGTTGCCAGTATCCCTGGCACATGGTTATGGCCTCACCAACCACACTTTGAGGTGTATTGAGAGGTCCATCTGCAAATGAAGGAGAGGAGAGATTAGGTCTCCAAAAGAATTTACTACCATTCCATCAGCTATAATCAAAGCACCACAAAGAAACTGGGATCTTTTGTTCACCAATAACACAGACCTTGCACTGAATCCACTTGGAACATATCAGAGACTCCTTCCAAATTCTCAAGGGTGACCTCAGTAGGAGCTTAAACCTGAAGTACTTGAGTGTTCAATCCTCTGCTTTTAGCTGAAATCTTGAATTCATTATTCTATTAGCCTTTCTTCTTATTTTTTGGTTCATTATAGCTGTCACCAGATAGCATGCAGATGGAATCACAGCAGCTCTTCCTACTTCTGTGGGTGCAGCCTGTTCTCAAACCTCCCATGTTTACATGGGAGGAGTGGGGCACAGGCCTCCCCCAATCCCCTCCTTTTTATGAGGTTCAGGTCCAGGTTTCTCTGCTCTGAGACTCATCGCAAAATATTCATAGAATTGTCCACTAAATTCTGCAGTTGACTGGTTGCTTCTCTCCAGAGAGCCGCTACACCAATGTTTGATTTTTTCATTCATCCTTACAGGAAAAATAAAGGAATTGAGAGTTTTGTTTACAAGGGATTTGTCTCTGATTTCTGTTTATTATCTGGTTCAGGACTTTGACTCTATAACATGGGAAAACAAACCTGTTTTTTGGCTGTGGAATCAATATTAAAACATGATCGCAGGGATACATGCTGACAGTCTCTCTCTGTAATGGCTATCTTGAGACACCTTTTGAAGATCTCCCGTAGTCAGTTTCCTGAAACAGAAACTGCCTACTTCACCAAGCATGTGGTGTGTTAAATAGTAGTCTTTCTGCTAGCATTGCAGTATGTTTTGAAAGCTTACTGCAGAGTTTATATGTATTTTATTCTGATGCTTCCTCCTTCTCTTATGCTCACTCCCACATTGGCTATATTTTAAATTTTGGTTATCTCTATGTATATGTACTGTTATATGTATATATCCCATGTGCATTATTTGTATATGGTAATTGCCCCCCCTTTCTTATTCTTTTGATCTGTCCTTCACCTGTGTCTTCAATCTCTCATACCAGTTATCTTGTCTTTTGAACTAGTTGTGTTTATGAAAAGGGAAGAATAAATATCTGTTCTGTTGATAGCATGAAACAAGCCTATTAAAACCTAAATGAGAGGCAAGAAAGTAATGGGCCTTCCAAGTCTTGTCATCTGAAAGGAAAATCTTTTTCTTTTTTGAAAAAAGGTAACTTTGGTATGACCAACATGGTATGTCAGCCTGGTCTTCTGTGAAAATCATTGCTGCTTCCTAGTAGAATTTGTGTGCTCTTGAACTATATTCACATTTTATATTTCAAACAGATTAATTGTATTAAATGGCACTTTAGATTGTTAGTCCGCACTTTGGGCCATAGAACCTCTGATTTATTTTTTTATTTTTGATTTTTAATAGTCCCTGGATAGGCTTATGTTGTTACCTGGTATATTCTACATGTACTTGATACTGACCAAATAATATGGGTACCACTGCTGGGAATGTTTGAGGTTTGTTTTCCATGCATTTCCCCCTTCTTATACTATGTAGCCTTTTTATCTTCTGAAGTGTGAATATCAGATGGGTGATATTCATGTTTACTTTGCAATATGGCAGAAATCCAGGATTGACTGTTCAAAAAATGTTCTGAAAAGGTGAGCATCTAACTTTGTCTACTGGCAGAGTGTCCGCTTTAAGTAAATGCAAGTTTGCATGCTGTATTTAGGTTTGCTCCAGTGTGGACTCCATTGTGCATTAGGACCAGAAGACTTTATCTCCCATAGTCAAATGCAGGCATTTGTATTTTAGAATCAAAAGCATCCCCTGGAAGTTAAAGTATTTAGCAGCTTTAACGTTGACTCCATCATTTCCTTGTGCGGATTGGTTCAGTGGGTTAAATGTCATAGAAAGGTTTGTCTCCAGATCCTGGATATCCTCACTGCAAATTAAGTTGAGGTCTTTCTCTTTTTGTTTGTTTTTGAAGTCTAGTAGTATGATAGATATTATCAGCACGTTTAATCCAGTTGTCATCTTGGCAGGTAGGGGGAGAGGGACCTTGGTTGTGTATTTTCTGTGGATCTGGTGCTGACAGGGGTCTATGATGTCATGTCAAAACCAGCGCTGGCTCTAACAAGGCGGTCCACAGCAACGGGGCTGTGCCGTAAATCTCCTATAGACTTTCTTCTGCTCCAAAAAGAAACCTCTGAAGAGGAAGAAATGATTAATGTATGTTTTATATAGGAAAGCTACCAGATAATAAATTGCAAGTTAAATCATGCTAATACCTAAACCTCCAAACTTTTGTTGCTTTTGTACCATTGCACTGATGTAGAATACAGCCTGTCAGAACAGCAACCCAGAAAAGCTTGTAGAAAGCGCTGCTCCTCGGAGGGGAAGACGCAGAGCATGAAGACAGTTTGTTTGCAAGTGAGCACAGAAGACCTTGCTGGGGTTAAGAAGCACGTTAGCCCTTCAGTGGTCTTGTGCAAGCGAGGAACGCACTGGCAGCTGCCCTGCCTTGGACAACTGTCACGCTGGCACCCCTGAGTTCCTCTGATTGGATGCTCCGAGTGACTGATTAAAAATGCTGATGCCGTTTGTGCGCTCCTTTCCACTTGGAGGAGAAATCTCTTTTTCCCCACCCCCAAGCCCACCTCTAAGTAATGGTGAGAAGATGAAGATGAAAACAGTGCGGTCTGAGTGACGGGAAATACAGCAGTCTGTTTTAGCTGCAGTGCTATGTAGGAGTCGTCTTCAGACTTCTTACCTTTGGTTTTTCAGCACAAACTGCTTGCAGGCTTTGGAAGGCTGTGAAAGGACTTACCATTTCTGTGTTAGTGTTTTCTGTGTATCATCACATTACCTTGCTTTTCCCTGGGCAGCTGTGTTCAGAGCTTCATGTGGAAATCTTTCTATTGAAGAGAGATAAAAAGGATCCTTAATCTGATTCGCTTTGGATCTTTCTATTTTTATGGTAAGTGCCAGCATGTATTGGCTGAGCATAGCTTCTTTGCTGCAGTGCTCGTGCTCTCTCCCTCTCTCTCTCCCTCCCCCTTCCCCCGTCTGTTTTTCTCCTCTTAAATAAGCCTTGTGACATTCACTCAATATCTATTCATCTTTGTTAGCATCTTCATAGCAGATGTTGGCTAACTAAAATACAAGTTTTCTCTTTATTTTGCTCTTTCCCCTCTCCCACCCGGAGCTCTGAAGTAGTGATTGCAATCAGAGTACTGCCTCTTTGTCCTTGAAACCAGGAGGCTTGAGCATTGCTCGTGATTGCCCGTGGCAGCAACGGGATAAGGCTCTGCGGAGCTGGAATTTGAGATTTAGTAAAGGTGGCTCATTTCTGTAGGTCTGTACCACTGTGCTGGAAGGGCACAGGAAGCCCGACTTGACTAGCCAGCCATCTAGAAGACTCTGAAGCCCCTCATTGTTCAAGTGTGGGGCATACATGTGGTTTGAGCTGATACTTGCTGTCATTGGCATATGAAGGACGGGCTCTTTCAGCATTTTCAGTATAAGCATGTGTCATAAGGTGTTTGCAAGTTGGACCTTTTGCATCTTAAAAGTCTCAGGCTGGCTGGTACAAGTAGTTGCAGAACAGGCAGCCTAATAACCCTCGTCCTTCTCTGGTCAATACAATTGTAAATTCTTAGCCTTTTGAACTCTGCAGTAGAAACGAAGTTCATTTAAATGTTTGAAAACCTGTGCTTGCTTAATTCATGCTCTAAACTACTTTAACAGCTCTGATTTTGTAAAGAGGAAAGGTCGTTATTTAGTCCACAGTAAACTGTGCCCTTAAACATTTTTTTTTTTACTCGTTTGTTGCACGAGATTTAATGTAAATGCAAATATGTGATTTCTGATAGATATATTAATTTGCTTTTGGTATGAGAAAACTACAAAAATATTTCTTTTAACTTAAACGTTTCCTGTTGTGAATCCATTATGCAGATTGACTATGCATAGCCCTTACACACTGCAGGAATAATAAAGACTTTACTAAATCTTCAAAGGTCCGCTGAAGGCTCAAACTCATCACCAGCTGGTCTGCCTTAAAAGCAAGGCAAAGAGGTGATGTGTTCTTATACCTCTGTTTAATCGAGGTGGGGTAAGAATAAAGCTTTTATTCTGTGTCTGCATTACCTTTTCTGGGTTTAAGCAATAGATATGCTGATGTCTGGAAATTGTCTTTGTTTAATGTGTGTTACATTGTGCCTCAATATTTTTTTTTTCTGATTTACTCTGTAATTCAGAGGGTTTTGCTTCACATGAGCTGTTTAGTTCAACAGAGTTTGGGTACCTCCTTACCCCTCCCAAACGAGTAAAAACTTTACAACAGTGTCATTGTTTTAAATACCCTTCATTTCTCTTCTGTACTTGGGTGTAATGTCTGGTTGTATGGGTCGTGCATATGTATGTCGGGGCAGGGAGGATGCTGAGATTAGGCGATTGAAAGAGGTACTGGGAGGAGGAGGAGGCTTACATAGATCTGCAGGTAGAGGAATTCATGGTGCAGTGAGGTACCTGCTGCATTGCCTTCACAAAAAAGCAGTAGTGGCCTGCACGTAGCCCAGATGTCAGTGATCCAGGTCCTCTTCCCCATCAGACCAGGCATTTTGGCATCATGTTGCACTCCCTGGTGCAGCTGATGCTAATAAGCCCTGTTCCCCTTCTTAGGGACGCCGTGAGGACACGCTGCAAACCTGTCTCCCTCCTGCTCTGGTAGGGAGCAGCTCTGTCCTGGCACTTCAGGACAGCTCAGTGAACTATTTAAAAACATTTCTCTCCAGCTCAGTCCTCTCCACTATCTGTTACAAAAAAGTTTTCACACTATGTAGGGTCTGTGTGTTACTTTTTTTTTTTTTTTTTTTAAATCTGGAACGAAGGTGCCTGAGTTTGTTCTCTTCAGTTTCCAGTAACTGCTGACACAATGACAGCAGCGAAGAAACTTTTTTTCTGTGAAAGGAGACCAGCAGGGATCTTGCTAACATACATGGGGAAACGGTTCTAAGTGCTTGCCGGTTGTGACGTTGCCTTGGGGACACCAGGCTAAGGCTTTTCTTGATTAAATGGAACAAGTAATTCTGTTGTGCATCTGCACGTGGAGCTGTTTACTGGACCATTTTGTTGCATCTAAATTACTGTAAACTTAAAAACCAGGAGGGTTTGCAAAATACATGCACAACTTAAATCTGAAGATCACACAGTTAAGTATGGTACAGCATGTTGGTTTTATTTTTAAAATTATTATTATTATAAACCCCCACCCGTGCCTTAAAATAACCTTACATTCTTACCTCACATTTAGTCAAAAAGGTCTCTTTTTTTCTCAAAAAATAACTCCTAAGTAAGACTGTCTTGCAGAAGCTAGGTGCATAATCATATCTGTCTTTTTCAATCAAAGTTTAAAAGCCAAAGTGCATAATATAATGTGCTTTCTGAATAGCCTTGAGGCGAAAGGAAGGGAGGAAAAACAATAATCTTGGAGTATTTTCTTCAGTTTAAACCACATGAGCTTGCAATGGGATGTTAACATTTGGAACCTGACGTCTGTGCACTGCAACTGACAAATCTATGTACCTAGAATCCTTGTTAGCACATCCTGTTGTAGGCCAAGGGTTTAAAAAATAAAGACGCAATCCTCTATAAAAGCCTTGGGAAGTAGACAGAAGAGTGAGATCCCCCAAATAACAAGAAATTCAAGTAGGTAAATGTGTTTTTCATTTCTTAGGAATCCTGTGAATGCTGTGATAGGGGAATGCACGCATAGTACTTCCTTGTTTCACAGCATGGTGTCATGTTAATTCCTTTGCAGGGTGGCTGAAGACTGCATAGAAAACAACTGCAGGGGAGAAAAAAAAAAAAAAAAAAAAAAAAAAAAAAAGCTCTGTTCCTTAGCCAGCCAAAATAACCCAACGGTCTGATGAAGTCACTGCATTATTTTTTTTTCCTGTGTATGCTCAGTATGCATTCTTCACTCGGCTTGTCCATAGAAGCAAGTTCTTTAAAGCTTTATATTCCACAAATATTCACCCATATATATTTATGTTGCAAATATAAACGGTTATGTTTTTACAGAAAGCTCACTCATTTTTCTTTCCATGCTGCTTCAGTAGTTTTATGCTTTCTGTCTGCTCATATCCTTTCCAACAAAACCTGTGCAGGCAGCTATTGATTATCACTGGCTGAAGAATTCAGGTGGTGGATTAGCCATGCCCCAACTTTCCTCTCTGCCCCAGACTGGAAAGTGACACTGTGATATGCGTGATGCAGAGCTGAAGTCATCAGTTCCAGGTGGTGCTCTGGCTAGTGATTTTTTTTTCAAAGCTCCTTCTGAAAACTTTACAGACGTTTTCAAAGGTAATGTACTACCTCATATTTTTACAAAGCATATGTAATTATAAGTTACAGTGTATGTATTTCCCCTATATATTACATGCTATATTAATTGTGGTTTTATTTGGCTGTTTCTTCATATGTACTGACCCAAGCATGAGCACACATGGATAATCAAAAGTTGACTGCAATTTCTAGGCTTTTTCTGTTGTTCATAGAGCTAACTTTGATGGTTTTCCTAGACACATTCTCTCATTTAATCTGCAGATTTTGTCCGGGCTGATTTCAAGGATTTTCAAGTTTTCTGTAGGGTTTGTATCACTACTGCTGGGACATGATTGAAATAGATGCCTGTTTAGGACAGCCTTTTTATCTTCATCCATTTGCTCTTGTTTGTAGTCCCCTGAAGTATTGATATTAATTCCTTATTTTATATGGTGCCTATGGCCTTCAAATACAGAAAAATGATTGTACCTCCCTTTCTTTTTGGAGGAGGAAGTTAATTAACAAAATCACTTGAGAACAGCAACACTGAATCACCTCTGAGCCAGTTTACTATATGGAAAAACTAGTCTGGTGATTGGATCACTGGGATATATATTCATATTTCAGATAATTTTATTTGACAAATCTGTTTTACATTAAAATTAAGCATAATACTTTACACATGCTGTATTGGACTCCTGGACACTTTTTCTAAATGAGCTTGGTACTTCTTGGAGAATGACTTCCCATAAAATGCCAACTGAAATGCACAGCTTTGTGAAGTCCGTTGGTATGTCTCCATATATCATAGAATCACAGAATCGTATAGGTTGGAAAAGACATTGAAGATCATCCAGTCCAACCACTAACCTAACATTGAGAGTTCCCAACTATACCAGATCCCTCAGCGCTATGTTGAACCGACTCTTAAACACCTCCAAGGATGGGGACTCCACCACTGCCCTGGGCAGCACATTCCAACACCCAACAAACCGTTCTGGAAAGAAATACTTCCTAAACAGTCTGAACCTTCCCTGGCACAATTTGAGAACATTCTCTCTTGTACTATTGCTTGTTACTTCATTAAAGAGACTCATCCACAGCTCTCTGCACCCTCCTTTCAGGTAGCTGTAGAGGGCGATGAGGTCTCCCCTCAGCCTCCTCTTCTCCAGACTAAACACCCCCAGTTCCCTCAGCCGCTCCTCCTACGACCTGTGCTCCAGACCCTGCACCAGCTCTGTTGCCCTTCTCTGGACACGCTCGAGTCATTCAATGTCCTTTTTGTAGTGAGGGGCCCAAAACTGAACACAGGAATCGAGGGGCGGCCTCACCAGTGCCAAGTACAGGGGTCAGATCCCTTCCCTGTCCCTGCTGGCCACGCTATTGCTGACACAAGCCAGGATGCCATTGGCCTTCTTGGCCCCCTGGGCACACTGCTGGCTCCTGTTCAGCCGGCTGTCAATCAACACCCCCAGGTCCCCCTCTGACTGGCAGCTCTCCAGCCACTCCTCCCCAAGCCTGTAGCGCTGCTGGGGGTTGTTGTGGCCCAAGTGCAGCCCCCGGCGTTTGGCCTTATTGAAACTCCTGCAGTTGGCCCCAGCCCATGGCTCCAGCCTGTCCAGGTCTCTCTGCAGAGCCTCCCTACCCTCG